ATAATTTCTCTCACACACCTTATGATAAATGAAAATCTATTTCAATTTTTATTTTTTATTTTTTTTTATTACCAAAATTAAAAATAATAACAATGCTTACTTTGTTGACATTAAAATTGAATTGTATCTCATGGATAATATAAAAAAATAACATTCTTTAAAATAAAATCAGTACTAAACTATAACTTAAATAACTTGACCAGAAAATAAAATTTTGATTAACACAAGCATTTTTTTTTAAAGCAGTTTAAAAAACAAATAAGAAAATTCCGAAGGTGGGAAGGGCGTCATAGCTCACAAAAAATTGTAAAGAATTTTTCTTACCTGAGTTAATAATATATAAACACTACTACAAATATAGATAAAGATCACACTTTTTTGGTGTGATGTATGTTTTTTAATCACACCTTTTAAGTTTTATTAAAGTGTGGTCTTTAGGAGTGTAATTAAAAATGGTCATTTTTAATCACACTTTTTAAGTGTCATTAAAAAATGCTTTCATCACATCTTTTAAGTGTGATTAATAATATTTAGATCACACCTTTTAAGTGTGGTTAAAAACATTTAGATCACACCTTTTAAGTGTGGTTAAAAACATTTAGATCACACCTTTTAAGTGTGGTTAAAAACATTTAGATCACACCTTTTAAGTGTGGTTAAAAACATTTAGATCACACCTTTTAAGTGTGGTTAAAAACATTTAGATCACACCTTTTAAGTGTGGTTAAAAACATTTAGATCACACCTTTTAAGTGTGGTTAAAAACATTTAGATCACACCTTTTAAGTGTGGTTAAAAACATTTAGATCACACCTTTTAAGTGTGGTTAAAAACATTTAGATCACACCTTTTAAGTGTGGTTAAAAACATTTAGATCACACCTTTTAAGTGTGGTTAAAAACATTTAGATCACACCTTTTAAGTCTGAAAAATAAAAAAATAAATTAATTTAAAAACCGCCAGAAGCATATGAATAAACTTACTAATTAATTTATAAACTTACATTTAGATCACACCAAAAATAATGTAATTTATCCAGTTGTTAAACTGCCCCAATCCTTTCCCCACAGCCACCAAAAATGACATAATTATTTTGATTCTCCACACAAATAGTATATAGCTACAAAAGATATTGATACCCTTGTAGAAGCCAAAATAAATCATCAAGGCATGAATGATTTCAAACTTTCTTAAGCTAGAATAATTTAATAATAAAACAAAAAAGTGATCTAAAACTCAAGATATGCACTTGTAGAAAATGACAATATTATTTGAGAAACAAGACATTTAATAAAAGATTAGATACTAAGCACGACACAACAAAGAGAGTAGGGGTAATATGTATATATCCACTCACTTATAGATCAATGTATTGTGCTAGTCTAAAACAATACAGTCTACACCATTCAAGTTTTTTCGGTGTCACTTATAGATCCACTCACTTCTCTCAAATTATTTCCCAGCAAAATACACATTAAACTCCCCTTGCTATTTTTTTGCTTCTTCAGAATCTTTGCTAATTGAATCTAGGTGTGAGATGATATACATAAAACTATGACAAACTCTAGTTCTATCAAACCTTATGAACAAAGTTTCCTTATATATGCCTAAAACACAAAATTATGAAATACCAAACATAAGCAAAATTAAAGCAATTATAGCAATTATAGTCCATTTCATTCCATATTACACCAAACATAAGCAAAATTATAAAAATCAGATTCCAAAGTAGCAAAACCAAACAATACCAAACAATGTCATTGAAATCTCAAGTTCATTTTATTTGATACAAGACACCAAAAACACTAGTCGAAATTGTAAAATGAAGATCTCTCTTTTATGACCAAACTTGTGGAACAAAAGTGAAAAATCAACAAATAACATAACAGAGCAAAATTAAAGCAATTATAGCAATTATAGTCCATTTCTAAACCTTTTTTTCTCCTATTTTGTCAATCTTTCACAGATTCAGTTTGAATGTAAACAGTCACAGATTCAGTTTGAATGTAAACAGTCACAGATTCAGTTTGAATGTAAACAGTCACAGATTCAGTTTGAATGTAAACAGTCACAGATTCAGTTTGAATGTAAACAGTCACAGATTCAGTTTGAATGTAAACAGACACAGACTAACAGACACAAATTCATGAAATTAACTGGGCAGTGAGTGTTCAGCTGAAGCACAATCATAAAAGAAAATTTATTTGCTTACCAAGTTGCCCAACTCTGAGACTAGTTTCTTTACTGTAGGCTTGAATTGCTAAATGACTAATCTCTGGTCACAAAACCTTGTGTGGAAAAATGAAGATGAGTACAAAATCAGCATTTCCGTGTAATATTTTTTCAAAATTCAAACTATAGGAAATTCAAAAAAAAAATAGAGAAATAAAAAAATATAGCAAATTCAAGCAGAGGAAGATTGAAAATTGAGGAAGGTAGCTACAGTTTGATATAAGCCTCTAATCTGGGCTAGTAATACTTATTTGAACATTGCGTGACTTTTTCATGACCAATATGGCATGGAGGGCAACAAATCCACTAAGATTTGGCTTGTTCATTGTCTTTCCAAATATATAATGAACATATTTTTTTTGGGAGCCATCAGTGATCAAGTCTTCTAAAAGTCAGTGGTCAAGTTTCCCTAAATGTTTTAAATATGAAAGCACTCAACAAAATAGTTTTCTAACTATAGTTAATCATGTTGCAGGTTTTTCTTCAAGTTATGGAGTGCTTACTCAATCGTTTTAGTCAGTCAGCATTTATCAATTCTGTTCTGGATACTACTTTTCTCTGTTATTTTCATCACTATTGGTGAGAACTTTCTTAAACATTTAATAACAGACAGATTCATACAGATTATTCCACCTATTATTAAATTCATACCAAAATTAACAGACAGATTCATACCAAAATTATTCCACCTATTTTTTCTGAATTCCACCTAGTTGGTCAATCTAAATTCCATACAAAACAATTAATAATAGACACAATTAGATGCCAAAACAGATTCAATAACAGACAGAATATGAATTCCACACTCGATGATACTTTGTATCATTTACAAAGGAGTGTTATTTATGTGTGTCAAGCGAGAAAATGTTGCTAAGCCATTTATGAAGTTTGATGAACAGTTTTCATTTACAAATGAGTGTTATTTATGTGTGTCAAGCTAGAAAAGACCAATGAATGCATGGTAAAAAATGTGAGCAGGTTAAATCTAGTCAGTAATGAAACTTGTTTTAGATTGAATAAATTAATCCTTGCAATATTTTCTCTATTTGGTTATATTTTGCTCAAAAACTATTCTTCAAAATGGTAGAAGGCACCCGTCAGGGACAACAGCCCAATCAAATTAACTTCTACATAGAAAATCTCCGAGGTGTCATGCAGCATTTAAAACCCTTAGCTAGTAGGTCATCATATAAGTGTTTCACAATGATAAAAATAAGATAGAAAATAAATATCACTCACCTGAGGATCCTCCTCCCTACGGTGACATATAGAAATCATCTCAAAAAATGATATTCCCAGTTTTCTACATATAGAAATGATCAAGTGGATTCTATAATTGGTGGGTCCAAACAGATTTTTGTCACATTGACAAGAGTAGGAATTTTACCTCAACGGTGCCCTACCCCCCTATTAGAAGGCCAATTTCCGGCAATTTTTTACCCCTATGGGGCCAATGGTTGGCTGATATGGTGGAATTCTTGTTTCATGAAGCATTTCTCATTACATAGATATCTCAAACAAATGAGAACTATAGTGGAAAATATAGGCCCCGCGACAACAAACCACCAAAACCTAGACCTTTAATCACCTTACTATTAGACAGATGAGGCACTGGTTAGAGACATAATTACCAATAGCCATTACCTTCCAAATTGTAAGACCTATCAAGACATGGATGGTTCCCTATCGACCCACATTCAGAATTTTTTTCCTTTATGTCATGCAACTTTAGCTGATCAATGTCAAGTTGCTCTAGTAGTAGTATGGATCCAATGATATGAATAAAAGAAACTACAAAAACACAGAAGAACCAGTTGTACTTACATATAATTCTGCATATAAAATTATCTGCATCTACAAAAAAACAAAAGAAACTACAGGGTCAACAACCAGACATGCATATTATAAACTTGTGCTTTATTTAATTCAATATTTAAAAAAAAAATCACAAGGTTGTTTTATATATCAGTTTTGTGTGTGTGTGTGTGTTAATTATAGAGACCTAACTAATGAGACTGAATATGACATCACTCGTAGAGTTATCCTTGAATCCACGACAACAAGAACCAACAAAAAGGCAAACACCGTCTGGGTTCCTTCCATCTCTTATATGTAAAAATTATTTGATAGATGAAACAAGTTTCATTGGATGTATTCATTACCTAAAATGACCATTACACAGTACTCAAGCTTGACATTCTAAGATTTAATATTTCATTATACCAATGATGGCTATATTATATATGATCTAATGGGTAGTGGAATTGGCATAAAAAAGAAGACATCATGTGAACAAAATAAGGCCAAAAGAAAGGGTATGAACAAAAGAAGGCCAATCACTATCATGATGAGCACGTAGCCTATTCTATTTATTTCTTTTATAGTAGTGATACTAATCTTCAGCTAACAGAGATAAGTTGTCTCAATTCAATCACTCTAGAGATATAATCACTAACTAAATGTGATAGAAATAAAAGGCAGTAAACATCTAGTGAAGCAAACAAAGTGCACCTCTTTCTTCTGTTCATCTGAGAAAGACAATGCTGCAATTTTCTGAACATATTCTTCTTGCAATGATTAAAAACCAATCAATGTATGATAGTTAAAACTAATTAAAGAAGAATCAATGCACATCATTTCACAATTAATGGACTGATAGGCATCACATAATGCTAAGTATCTAATGAAGAACTTAGTCTACATCATAAATGAGCAGCCAACGAATTTGTGTATCAAACAACTAATGAAGTTTAGGATATATGAACCTTGTGAACTTTAGCAAGTCCCTTCTTGCTCTTATTATCATCCTACAAAATACAAGAAAAATGAAGCTCATTCATGCTACGTTTTACTTTCATATTTAAAATATATATAATAATATACATAAGAGAAATGAAAAAACAAAAATATATTGGAAAGCATTGATTACCAATTCCTTGAATTCTTTTGGTGCTTTAGATGGTAGACTAGGAGCTTTCTGAACATCATCAAAATGCCCCTAAGAAATATGATACAATAGATATCTCTTATTAGCAATTCAGTGACATGTATACGTATGTATACATGCATACACACACACACACACATATCAGAGCATATACGTATGTATATATATATGCATAGAGAGATAGCCAAAGCCAATTCAAGCAAATGTTCAACAATATCAGAGCAACACTGATAGAAGAAATGGAGCATCACAAGTAAAAAGAGAATGAGGTGGCGACTCTGTATCTGGAAAAGCAGTCCATGTTTGGCACTTCTTTTCTAAAATTCTGTTTTCTCAAAACGATTTGCCGGATTTGGACTCTTTGGTTCAGATTAGGAGCCGTGACAATTTGAGAGTCCTGAGCTGTAGTGAGCCCAACATTGAACGGAACGGGAGCTCGTTCCTCCCGGGGCGTTCGGGGACGTCTACACATAACATTTGAAAAAAATGATAAAACAATAGGATCCATAGATGTGTACCATAACAGGAATGACAAGGTAAAATAGTAATGTCCAGGAATTCTACTAAAGTTTGGGGCATTGTGCTACTTTTCATTGAAGAAAGTGTTTTTCATGATAGCATACTTCAGAACTCCTGTGACAGCAAATAATACAGTTTTCCACAACATAAATTAGAAATCACGAATAACATCTTATATTTGTAAGTGACCCTTGGCAGTGAGTATTATTGGCAAACTATTATCTGTTTGACTAGGGTAGGGCTGCAAGTGAACCAAACTGCTCATGAATAGTTACAGCTCGACTTCTTTGAAGCTTGTCTGTATGTATAAATGAACCAAACTCTAGCTAATCATACCTCTGTGATTACAGGGGCAGGTTTCACATTGTGCTCGAAATATAGATCAACTTCTAATGCACTATTCTTTGGCCTTTTTGCTGCAGTTACCTTTCATCAAATGCCTAGTCAATAATTAGGAATTCACTTCACAGAAAGGTGATACACTGCTGAGATCCATATGAATGGATATTGCAAAGATTTCAAAAATGTGAAGATTATAAAAATGTCTCTACGATGCCCTCAAACAATCAAAGACCGTCCACCACAAGATATTGAACTTAGTGAGGGAGACAAAAGCATATATATATATATATATATATAGAGAGAGAGAGAGAGAGAGAAAAGAAAATAGCAAAGAGAGAGAGAGCAGAGAGAAAGCAAAAACAAACTTACCGAATCGACCAGCGGTGAGGCGATCTAAGAGGAGAAGATCGACGGTGACCGATAGGGCTAGCGGCGGTGGCGATTGGCAACGCCAGTAGCAGCGGAGATGGAGGCGATCGGTAAGGTGAGAAGCAACAAGAGGTAGACATAGTCGAATGAGATGTTTTGGGGATATGAATTAGGGTTGATTGGGAATTGATTGTGTGTGTGAGAATATATTTACAATTACTTTGAATTAGAATATATATATATATATATATAATCACACTTATTTAAATTGTGTGATTAAAAAAAATATTATCTCACTCATTACATTAAGTGTGATTAAAAATCATTTTAATTTTTTTAATCACACTTTTAATAAAAGTGAGATATTTTTAATTTTTCTTAGTTGATCTTTAATCACATGTTAATTAGAAAGTGTGATTAATATATATATATATATATATATATAATCACATTTAATTGACAAGTGACATAAAAAATAAATATTATCACACTTAATCAAATCAAATGAGTGAGAGACAGATAGAGGAGAGAGAGAAAGACAAAGACAGAGTGATGAGCAAGAGAGAGACAAAGTGGTCGCTAAAAGTGCATTTTCTTGTAGTGGATAGATAAATCGAGAGGGAGCTCAGTAAATAGAGAAGACAGAAGGGAGAGAGTGAGCAACGCGAACATAGTGGGAGAGAAAAAGAGAAAGAAAGAGAAGAGAGAGAGAGAGACAAAAAGATAGAGAGTGAGAGACAGAAAAAAGATAGAGAGAGAAGAGAGATGAACGAGAGAGAGATAGAGAGAAGAGAGATGAATGAGAGAGAGAGAGAAGAGAGATGAGCGAAAGAGACAGAGAAATATGAGAGAGATAGAGAGAAGAGAGATGAACGAAAGAGACAGAGAGAGAAAAGAGATGAGAGAAGAGATAGATGAGTGAGAGAGAGAGAGAGAAAGAGACAGATAGACAGAAGAAAAGAGTGATGAGTGAGAGAGAGAGAAGAGAAGAGAGAGGAAGATGAAAAATAGGTGAAAAGATATAGACAAAGAGAGAGGAAAGAAAAAAAGAGCGAAAAGAGATAAACAGAGAGAGAGAGAGATGCGCGAGAGAGATAACGAGAAGAGAGACAGAGAGAGAGTGAGAGAGATAGACAGAGAGAAAGAAGAGAGAGGAGAGAGAGACAGACAGACAGAGAAGAGTGATGAGTGAGAGTGTGAGAGAGAGAGAGAAGAGAGACAGAGACAGAGAGATAGAAAGATGAAAAAATTGGTGAAAAAGTTCCGTGTCTAAAGCCTCATTTTCTAGTAGTGAGTCATCTCTATCATTCATGGGTAGAATAAAGGCGCGGATTTGGGAATTGTATATTTTATATAAAAATCAAATTGAAATATTTTATACAATCACACCTATTTAGGGAGTGTGATTAAAAAGTAGTAATGTATATATTTCACACTTTAATTAAATGTGTGATTAAAAAATATATATATAATCACACTTATTTAAAAAGTGTGATTAAAAAGTAGTAGTGTATATATAATCACACTTTAATTAGAAGGTGTGATTAAAAAATATATAAATAATCACACTTTAATTAGAATGTGTGTTAAAAAATATCTATATAATCACACCTATTTAAAAAGTGTGATTAAAAAGTAGTAGGTATATTAATCACACTTTAATTAGAAGGTGTGCATTAAAAATATATAAATAATCACACTTTAATTAGAATGTGTGGTTAAAAATATCATATAATCACACCTATAAAAAGTGTGACTAAAAAGTAGTAGTGTATATATAATCACACTTTAATTAGAAGGTGTGATTAAAAAAATATATAAATAATCACACTTTAATTAGAATGTGTGGTTAAAAAATTATCTATATAATCACACCTATTTAAAAGAATGTGATTAAAAAGTAGTAGATATATATATAATCACACTTTAATTAGAAGGTGTGATTAAAAAAATATATAAATAATCACACTTTAATTAGATGTGTGATTACAAAAATATATATAATCACACTTGTTTAAAAAGTGTGATTAAAAGTAATAGTGTATATATAATCACCACTTTAATTAGAAGGTGTGATTAAAATATATATATATAATCACACTTAATTGAAAAGTGACATAAAAAATAAATAGTTATCACACCAATCAAATTAAGTGTGATTTAAAATATCATCTAATTTTTTTTATCACACTTTCAATAAAAGTGAGACTTTTTTTTTTGTCAAAGTGTGATTTTAACTATTTTTGTAGTAGTGAAACGAGATTTGCGGAATATTCTGAAAAGAAAACATAAACACTGGAAGAGAGATAACGATTTGTAAAAGTCAAAGGTATTATATATAGCATTGTAGAGTATAATTTAGATTTTCTTATAAGAATCACTTAGTGAATATTTTAAAACTCTACTTTCTTAAATAGTTAACATTGAATATAATTTCAATCTTTCATACTATATTGAGGTCTTAATATAAATGGTTAAGAAGACACATTGTCGAGTATGTCAATGTCTAAATCAGTTAGTCTTAAAGCTAACTCAATATCTTTTAACCGATTCATAATCAAAACTTTAATGGAGTAAATTTGATTTTCATAAAAATATCTCCCTTCATTGCTTTCAATTCAATATAATATCATTCAATTATATATAGACAATAATAATCTCATAATCACAATTAATATTCTCAAATATTTAAAATGTATCACTCTTAAATTGAATATATAGAAAGCATGTTCACAACTCCAACTTTCAATTATACATAGGCAATTAGTATAATCTCACAAGAATATGCTGCGAATAAACTTTAGCAATATTCTCAGATGTGCCAGAATGTATCACTATATAAACACCTTTGGGTTGAATATATAGAATACAATCAACATCTTTAAACTTCAATATAATCTTAATTAATTATACATGGGCAATAATTATAATCTCACAATAATGGGCTGCAAATAAACTTTAACAATCTTGTTAGATGTTTCAGAATGTATCATCATATAAATACCTTTAGGTTAAATATATAAGACACATTCTAACACTTATAAACAAGTCAACTAGCAAGAATGATTAATCAAGAAATTATCTCCTTTGGGTAGATAAATTCTTTGAAAAACAATAAAATTTTCCTTACTAGCGGCTCACACTACCTCTAAAATTAATACACTCAATTAACTCCCTTTAGGTAAGTAATTGAGTGATATAATATTAGAAAAACTTCCCAGAATCTTTATTAGTAAATCACTTTAAATCTCAATAAGTTAACCACTTCGGCAGTATCACCCATATTGATTCAAAAATCTTCCAACTAGGACTACAAAAATAAATATTTGCCCACCTTTAAAACTTTATTTATTTATTAACAATAATGCAATCTGTAACCTATGAAAGCATATATAATATCGTATTACAAATCACTACTAAACAGTTACTCAAAAATAATATCTGACAGCCAAGCAAAATTCGCATATGAATTTATAAAAATTACACCAAAGTGATATACATGATATAGAACTCTTAAACAATCTTAATGTTTATGTAAAAGTCATAAAAACGAATATGTTTCATATGTTTTGCAAATATTTGATTAGGTAAGATTTGAAATATATATATATATATATATATCAATACAGATTCAATATACACACGTCCATACTTCACAATTTTTGTAAAACTACCAGATCTAAATTAATTTTATTTTTATTTTTATTTTATATAACACAATTGGAAGCAAACTATCAACACTCAAACAGTATGTACTCGTTACATTGAAAAAGTTTGCTTGAAATTACTAAAGCACAATTTTGAGATGCAAAAGCATCATTCAGTAAAAGAAATATTAATTTATTCCTTATCATTATATAAAATAATTTTACTGAAATTATTTGTCATAATTTTGATTCTAGTATAAACTTGCTCTGATACCACATGTAAGATTATAGGATCTATATACTAGAAATCCAAACACTAGGAATATAAGTAACTACTAAATATAAACTTAGATACATAGGGACTGTTTGGTAACGTTTACGTTTTCAATTTATATTTATAAAAATTTTATAAACTAGTTTTTGTTTATTTTTAGAAAAACATAAACTACAAACGCATTTGGTTTAGACAAAATATTTAAAAAAAATTAAAAATATAAAAAAGAGTAAGAAATGGCAAGTGGTGACGAGTGGTAGCGGCGGAAGACGGTGGTAGAAAATGATGGCGGGTGGTGGTGGCGGAAGACGGTGGTGGAAAATGGTGGCAGATGGTGGGTGATGGTAGTAGAAGACGGTGGTGGAAAATGGCAGCAAGTGGCGGGTGGTGGCGACGGAAGACGGTGGTGGAAAGCAGTGACGGGTAGGTGGATGGTGGTGGATGGCGGGTGGGTGGTGGTGATGGGTGGATGGGTGACGGTGGTGGGTGGTGGCGTGTGGATGGCAGGTGGGTGGTGGTGGTGAGGGGTGGGTGGTGGTGGTGGCAGGTGGGTGGTGAGTGGTGGTGGTGAAATGTTTAAAAAAATTTTAAAATATAAAAAAGAGTGAGAAATGGCAAGTGGTGGCAAGTG